GGGTTGTATAAAAAAAGCCCACAGTTTTCATAACGCTCTGATTCATCGTGCATAGTCTACTGCAATTCAAAATGTTTCGTCAGATTTCAATTTCTTAGACACCTGTGTGAATCGTACCGAGCCGCTACGGCGTACTATCTATGCGCATCCATCTGCACATTTCGACAAACTGTCCCGTAAGCCTACGTTTTACAAAGTACTAATCACCTATCCACTATCGCTCGCTTTGAGACATCTTCCTCGTGCCTTTGCACAGTCCTTCGCCCTATGCCTTCTTTATCTAGCGTAATTGTGAAAGGACACGCGTATCACCCCCTTCTTCGTTTTTCGCCCTGATGCACTTGTTTTAACGGCGACTAGACAGCTTAAACTGGTCACCTTTAAAAGCACACGTCGTTTTAACCAAGAACGTCAGAAAATTCCGCATATCAAGGAGTTTTCGTGGATTTCTCTTCAAATAGGTTTGTTTACTGTTGAGAAATTTAGTTTTCCCATATGCATTTAGCATGAGCGAATATCGGCTGAATTTACACGCTAATGCTATCTATTTTCCTACCTACAGGCTATTGTTAAGTAGGCTGTTGGAGCCACGGTGCTTACCTGTGAGTGATCTTGTTTATTACTTTATATTGGTAGCCTGTCCTCCGGAATTAGGGCGGACTTAGAGACGCTTCCAAAATTAAAATGTCCACAGCCCCTGTTCTAGTAGCATCAAGACTCGCGGTACGCTCATTTAGAGCTCCGTTCTTCTACAAACAGCGGGGTTCACACAATTTTGTCCCTACAGTTCTGGGGTCAGAGGCGTGGATCCAGCCTTTAGCCTCACCGTCCTGTCACGCAAATTTGACTAACTTTTAGACGACGAACAATGGGTAAGGATTGTGCAACTTGCTCCCTAACAGGTACACTGGAATAGAAACGCCCACCCACGTTATGGAGATGGCCTTGTGCGTATTTGCAGATGAGGTAAATATTCCGGTCCCAACCTTTATATAGGCCCTAATCTTAACGATA